CATCTGGGGTGGGGCTGGGTGGGAGGAGCGTTGAGTGGGAGGAAGTTGGCTGGCCCGCCCTGCCCCTTATTGGGGTAGAGGGGGCAATCAGGGGTGGGGTTGGCCAGGGGGAGGGGCTGTGGGCCGATCGGGGTGGTGGGGGCCCATCAGGGGTGGGGCCAGCCAGGGGAAGGGGCTGCAGGAGATTGGTCAGCTGGCCCCACCCCCAGATCGGGCGGTTCTCTGGCCTCAGTGGGCGTCATAGCGGCCAGTCGTTCTGGTCTTTACAGTGTTTCCGTCACTGGCTTTTTGTATATATAGATGGTTACCCTGAAGATTTGGTCCACTTTCCTGAAATGAAACAGGTAAGCATGGAAGATTTTACCTACATTATGACCACCACTAAGCCAATTTCATGTTGCCTAAATCTTGATTAAAATGTTACAGATTTTTGGCATACCACTTATGTTCCCAGCAAAGATGGAGTAGCATAGAAGCAGAGAGCAGACTTTCCCTGCACCCAGAATTTTTAAAAAGTAAAAAGAAACCACTAGCCAGCATGGTTGAGCCAGTTGACCTATGAACCAGGAAGTCAAGGTTCAATTCCAGTCAGGGCACATGCCTGGGTTTCGGGCTTGATCCCTAATGGGGAGCATGCAGGAGACAGCCAATCAATGATTCTCTCATCATTGATGTTTCTATCTCTCTCCCTCTCCCTTCCTCTCTGAAATCAATAAAAAAATTTTTTTAAAAAGAAAAAGGAAACATACAAAACATATGAAACAATGCTTTTTAAGACAATAGACATTATATAAAGGCCAGTGATTTCCTAACAGACAGGAAAGAAACAACATGAGCCTTGTGATCCCCACAACTTCCTACCTTGAGAGAATTTCCAGGCCTTGGCTCAAGGAGAAGGAACCCAGGCAGAGCTCAGTGGATGCTTTGAGTTGACAAGACAGAGGGGAGAGTTTGTGAAAACCAATGCAGATGGACAAAGTAACAAAGAGAAGAGAGCTACATACAGAGAAAACTCTAAAGAACTAGGGAACGTCTCCTTGGAATATTCAGATGAATACGTGAAGAAACTGAGGCTGGAGAAGGAAGCATCTAACAAGACTGGGGAGGAGAAAGTACCTGTCACTCACACAGGGCCAGGAATAATGATTATTTCCACCAGCCGGATGGAGACACCTCTTAATTCATGTAGTATTATGTAGAGCGCTCAGAAGAGTCTTGCCTCAGGAGGGAGTAGTAATTGGTGCTAGATTAAATGCTATTCCCATCCCACCTCACAAGCCTTGAAAGCAAGACCCAAAAATATCAAACTATTTCCAAGTAATTTTCCCAGATCTGATAACAAATCTCAAAAATATTTCTATGAAAACAAATAATCCAGTACCCAAAGAGGTGAAATTCACAATGTCTACAATCCAAATAAAGATTACCAGGCATGCAAAGAAGAAGCAAAATGCAACTCATTTTAAGGAGAAAAATCAACCAATTGAAACTTACCCAGAACTGATAAAGATATTAGAGTTATCAAACAGGGACATTGTTAGGGGTTTAATTGTGTCCCCTGAAAAGATAACTTGAAGTTCTAATACCTGGATTGTGACTTTATTTGGAAACAGGGTGTTTGCAGATATGCAAGTTAAATTGAGGTCATGCTGAATTAATATAGGCCCTAATCCAGTGACTGATGCTTTCATGGAAAGAGGGAATTTAGAGCAGACACAAGAGAGAATACTGTGTGATGACAGAGGAGAGACTTGGGTGATGCGAACCGAGGACACCAAGGACTGCTGGCAACCATCAGGAGCTGGGAAGAGGCAGGAAAGGAATCGCCCTTAGAACCTTCAGAGGGAGCCATGATCCTTCCAACAGCTTAATTTTGGACTTCTAGCCACCAGAACTGTGAGTGAATTCATTTCTGTTGCTTTCAGCCATCAAATACGTGGTACTTTGTTACAGTAGCCCTAGGAGTCTAACACACACATCAAAAGTGTTTTAGATGTCAAAAATTACATAGAGACAGGGGAAATATGAAAAAGGCCCAAATTGAACTTCTAGACATGAACATTTCACCTGACATAAAAAATATACTGATGAAATCAATGTCAGATGAACTATTTCAGAAAAAAAAGAATATTGAATTTGAAGATATAAAAAAGAAACTATGCAAAATGAAAAAAAAAATTAATTTGTAATTTAAAAAAAGCATCAATGAAACAAAAAACAAAACCAAAAAAAGCATAAATGAGCTTTTTTGTAGAACAACTTTAATTAGCCTAATATAAGTGTAATAATTGGAAAGAGTAGAGAGACATAAGGGGACATAAAAAATAAATGGAGAAATAATGGCAGAAATTTTTCCAAAATTGATGAAAACCATAAATGCACCCTAGCAGTATAGCTGAGTTGGTTGGAACATCGTCCAGTACACCAAAAGATAGTGGGCTCGATTCCCAGTCAGGGCACACACCCAGGTTGTGGATTCAGTCCCCAATAGGGGTTGTTCAGGAGGAAGCTAATGGATGTTTCCCTCTCATTGATGTTTCTCTCTCTCTCTCCGCCTCCCTTCCTCTCTCTCTAAAATCAATAAAATATCTTAAAAAACAACCATAAATGCAAAAATTCAAGAACCTCAAAATACTGCACAAGAAATATGAAGAAAGTACATCAAAACACATGATAATCAAAGTACTTCCAACCAGCGATAACTAGTCTTAAAAGCATTCTGAGGGAGAAAAAAGCATGTTGCAAAAGAAAATAATGACAGAACATTTGTCCTTGGAAATAATAAGATAGTGGAGCAATATTTTTAAAGTACTGAAAGGAAAAAATACTTTCAATCTACAACTCTGTACCTAGTAATGCTATCCTTTAAAAATGAAGGCAAAATTAATACTTGTTCGGACACAAAAAAGATGGAATAATGCATACCCAACAGATCTGTACCACAATAAATGTTAATAAAAGTGTTCAAAGTAAAAGCAAGATTATGTCTTTTTTTAATTGATTTTAGAGAGAGGAAAGGGGGAATGATATATATATATATATATATATATATATATATATATATAGAGAGAGAGAGAGAGAGAGAGAGAGAGAGAGAGAGAGAAACATTGATGTGAGAGAGAAACATCAATCAGTTGCCTCCTACACGTGCCCCAACCAGGAATTGGACCCACAACATGGATATGTGCCCTAACTTGGAATCAAATCCACCTTTCAGTGTACTGAATGATGCTCCAACCAACTCAGCCACACTGACCAGGGCTGTTTTTTGTTTTGTTGTGTTTTGATTTTTAATTGAAAAACTAGAGGCCTGGTGCACAAAATTCGTGTGTGGGTATGGTCCCTAGGCCTGGCCTGTGATCAAGGCCATCTTCCCCAGCTGCCCACAGACAGCCCCGCCCCCACCGCCACCCACCCCCAGTTCCCTGTTCGCCATCGGGTGATCAGTGCCTGACGGCCAGGGTAAGGGATCGAGAGGTTGGCTGTTCCTGCCCGCTTGCCGGCCCCACCCCCGCCATGGGTGGCCATCAGGTGATCAGAGCCTGCTGGCCAGGGAAAGGGTCCAAGAGGTGGTCAGTGCACCTCATAGTGACTGGTCCAGCAGTCATTCTGGTCATTTTGCCATTAGGGTCAATTTGCATATTGCCCTTTTATTATATAGGATTATTATATAGGATAGTATTCCACTGTAGGATGTATCACTGTTTGTTTACCCATTGCCTAGTTGAGGAACACTTGGGTTGTTTCCAGTTTGGGTTAATTATGAATAAAGCCCTAAAACCATTGAAATATACAAATTTTAAACATACAGTCCAATGAATTTTGAAAAAAAATTATGCATTCTCTTACCTCCAGTCTAATTAAGATATAGAACATTTCCATAACCCTGGTGAGTTCTCTGCTATCTTTTTTGAATCAGTCTCCCCTAAATAGTGTTCTGATTTCCATCACTATAGTTCCCCCCCTTCTGTCCCAGAAAGTCATATAAATGGAATTACACAGTACGTGAAGAATCGATGTTCTTTTCATCCCAAGAAGAATTAGTAAGTAATTGAAGGCTTTTAAGAAGGAAATTGGCACAATCTGATTTATATTTTAAATTATTATTTTTGGCTACTGTGTGAAGAATGGTAAGTAGATGATGGTGTGCCACTTAAGTGTTATTTTCTTCCCATCTTTGGGGGGGGGGGGGGAGGTGGAGCTATATGACGCAATAAAATTCCAGGCAATCCAGAATTTACCTTCAGGCTTCAAGCCAGGTTGCAAGGCCGGCTCCAGAGCACCAGAACTGTTCCTGCCATTCCCGGTTCTCCCCAGCAGATGGCACCAGAGCCTAGTTCCCGGCCCGCCTCGCCAAGTCCGCCTGCTGCAATGTGAGCTGACGCCGCCAGGTGACTCCTCAATACAATTTCTGTGCAAAGCGGTCGGGTTTGCGCTGAAGTTGGGGAGCAGAGAGGGTCCGCCAGAGGTATTGCGCCCCGGCTTCTCCGCACCTCAGGCTGGCATCCTCAGAGGCGCCTTAGGCCGGAAGGATCTTGACCCGCGTCTGCCCTGGACGGTGCATTTTGCGGGGAGTTTTCTCTGGAGTGCGTGCGAGCCTTGGGGGAGAAGGGGGAGCGGGGGAGAGGGGTCCTGACAGGCAGCGCTTTTAGGAGTCTACCCACGGGAAAAGGTGGCCCACTGGACTTAACGACAAGGAAAGGAGGGGGCTTCTGAACTAGGCTTTGGAAAGAGCTAATGGAAGGAACGCGCGAGGCTGGCTGGAAAGCAGGGTGGAGACAGCAGGGACTGGTGTTAAGTGTCAGGGAACAGACAGAGCGGGCTGCGTGGCTCAGGGCTAGGAAAGTAAAGCCAATAGGCTTGTTTGCGTGGAGAGTTGCCTAGGGAAACAGAACACTTGAGAGCCTCTTCTTTGCCCTCTCCAGCCTCCTGTTTGGTGCTGAAGTCACAACCACCAGGAGTCCTCTTTCTCCCACTCCTCCCTCTCTCCTTCAGCGCGGGGAGCCCGGAGCGCAGAGGGCTGAGAATGAGGCGATAGTGGAGGAAGAAGAAATGGCCTCGGACCCCTGGAAAATGAGGCCGATGCCCCTACTGCAGCTGGCGCTGCTTCTCGGCCTGCCCAGGAGCTTAGGGGGGAAAGGGTGTGTTTCTCCGCCCTGTGAGTGCCACCAGGAGGACAACTTCAGAGTCACCTGCAAGGATATCCATCGCATCCCAGTCCTACCGCCCGGGACACAGACTCTGTGAGTACCTGGGAGAGGAGAGGGTAGGTCCCAGAGGCCAAGGGCAGCCGGAAAGGTGGACGCCCCGGCTTCTCCGCACCTAGTGCACAGAAAGAACTTGAGAATAGGCCAAAGGGCGTGTGTGTGTGTGTGTGTGTGTGTGTGTGTGTGTGTGTGTGTTTGTGCGCGCGCGCGCAATGAATAAAAACTCAATCCCATAAATTTGGGATTGCTGACCTCATAGTTATTTAATAACGCAGGAAACGGTAACAAAACTTTGGTACAAGATGAGCTATTCTGCATATTCCCTGCTCCTCGCCCAGGCTAAATCTTCCTTTTACCTCAGGTATGAACAAGATTAGTAGCAATTCAAGAACTGACTTTTCTATCTGATATTGGGTAATAAAAATTTGCAAAAAAAAAAAGTATTTCTCCTTTTAGTCTTCCTAGATGGGAAATTATCTTAGCTGGTCTTACTGGTTCATCAAATAGTTGACAAAATTTAGTCAGGTATTCTTTTTTAAAATATACCCTTTATACTTTCCATGAAGGTAACTTTGTATGAAGTACCTGAGTTACTTTCTCAAAGGTTAACTGCCCACTAACATAGTGGATCCAGAAGTTTCCTTTGCCATAGGCATGGGAGAGGAATAAAGAGGTAAAATTTCATAAATTGCATTTTATCTGCATATTAAATGATGCAAAAAAATTGTCAGATGGTTACTAGCCTTATTGGGGTGTTAACACTTCATCCTATATAATAAAAGCCTAATATGCAAATTGACCAAACGGCAGAATGACCAGCGGGACGACTGGTTGCTACAACGTGCACTGACCACCAGGGGGGCAGACACTCAACGCAGGAGCTGCCCCCAGCCTGCAGGTCCCAGGCCAGCCTAGGCAGGTGCCAGTGGGGGCTCCCCCCGATCACCCTGTGGGTCACCCTGCAGAGGGAGGCAACTGGCTGCAGCGATGGGGTGATCAGGGGATGGGGCTAGCTGGCGAGCAGCACCAGGCTGGCCAAGATGGGTGCCAGCGGGGTCCCCCGATCACCCCGCCAGTCGCCCCACAGATTGGTCCTGATCGCTGGCCTGGCCTAGGGACCCTACCCATGCATGCATTTTGTGCACCGGGCTTCTAGTAAGTTATATAAATGTCTAATCACTATGCTGTACACCTGAACCTCATGTAATATGTATGTCAACTGTAATTGATAAAATTTATTTTTAAAAGTTGCCAAATTAAAAACAATGGTAAACAAGTTCTATGGTATGCTTATTCCTTAAGAGACATTTAAATCAATGACAAAAGCCAGGAAAAAGGCTTTCTTGGGTGGTTAAAAATGGAGCACAAAGAAAAAAAATAGTAAAACAACCTAGGCTGGTTAAACCTAGTTCAGGTAAGATAATACAAGTTATTAATGTAGATACATGAAAAGCAATGATGAAGTTGCACTTCAGGATTTTCTCAGGACTGTAGCTGATAGGGACATTAAATAGTGGTGAATGTTGTTTGGTGATTAATGTTGCAGTACAGGTTCTGTACTCTGAGATACCTCCGTTTCTTATCTCCCTGGATTAATTAGTGCAATAAATTCAAATACCGCTTTATTCTCCATGCTCCAAACACAGAATAAAATACATTCTTTACTTTTGATTAAACACCTGCATTGACTCTTCATGGCCTCTAGGATGAAACTCTTTTTTTCTGAGATCCTTTAAGACCTAGTCCAGTCTTTCTCTCAAACCTTATGGCTCCTAATCTCTCTGATCAGAATTCCAACTCCTACTGATCAGAATTTCCCGCACATCCCTCCAAGTTATTTGCTATCACAATTAACTGTCTTTGCCTTCCCTCCTACATTCTACCCCTCCTGCTTAAAGCAGCTTTTGCCCTGGCTAATACCTACTTCAAGATCCAGATAGTGCCTGGTTGGTGTGGCTTAATGGTTGAGTGTTGACCTATGAACCTCAAGGTCATGATTCAATCCTGATCAGGGCACATGCCAGAGTTGTGAGCTCAATCCCCAGTAGGGGGAGTGCAGGAAGCTGCCGATGGATGATTCTCTCATCATTGATCTTTCTATCTCTCTCTCCCTCCCCCTTCCTTTCTCTGAAATCAATATAAACATGTATTTTTTAAAGATACAGATTAGGGGTCAGTTCTTTCCAGAAGCCTCTCTTGATCTATGACCCCTAGGCTGGGTGAGCTCCCTACCCCCAACATTCTGTGCACGACCTCTATCCTAGCCTTTAAACATGGCATGCTTTTCTGTAAGTTATTTCTTTGCATGCCTACCCAAGTAGGACACGAGCTCCTCTAACACAGACACCCTGTCATTCAACCCTGGAACTATGATGTTCAAAAAAAAAGTTTAAGTGAGTGAATGACTGAACATAAATATGCTAGTCTCATTATTCACTGTGAGAATAAAGAAGGCCAGAGAGATCACTTATTCAGAGACTTCTTTAAAGGTGGAAGAATTTCAAGTCATTGAAGAGAAATGAGGCTCTGACAGTGGAAGTGAATTTGGATTCATCCTGTCAATTCCACCAAATGATGAGGAGAAAGGCTAACATCAGAGAAAGAGCGATGGAGGAGGAGTCAGGAAACCTGCATTCTCTTTACCCCTCTCTCACTGACTGTGAAATTAGGTGAGATCATAGATTTAGGAGAACCCAAGTTTCCTTCTGGGTAAAACAGAGGTGCTTTTAGTTAGGTGCTTTCTGATGTCTGTGATGCTCAAGAGGGAATCCACTGAGCCACAAAGGATAAGAACTGGATAGAGACAGGAGCAAGGAGAGTCTGAACTTAAAAACAATTAGGGGGAGGATGGGGCGGGACTATTCTGAAGAATTAAGTTATTCTGAGATAGAGAAGAGAACATTTAAAAGTATGGGTAAAGTGGTATGCTAATTTAACTAATGACTACAACCATCTACAACAGTAGCAAAGTGATTTTTGAAAACTTTGTGGGGCAATAGAACTCTACTGCCCCACAACGTTTTGAAAAATCACAGTGGATTCCCTTCTGTATGTCCTCTTTCAAAAAGTGTCTATTTAGGTCCTTTGCCCATTTTTTGATTGGATTGTTTATCTTCCTTTTGTTAAGTTGTATGAATTCCTTTTGTTAAGTTGTATGAATTCTCTGTAAATTTTGGAGATTAAACACTTATCTGAAATAGCATTGGCAAATATGTTCTCCCATGCAGTGGGCTTTCTTGTTGTTTTGTTGATGGTTTCTTTTGCTGTGCAAGAGCTTTTTATTTTGATGTAGTCCCATTTATTTATTTTCTCCTTAGTCTCCATTGCCCTAGGAGCTGTGTCAGTAAAGATATTGCTACAGATTCAATGCAATCCCCACTAAAATATTTCAAAGATCTAGAACAAACTCTCCACAAATTCATCTGAAATAAAAAAGACACCGAATAGCCACAGCAATCCTGAGGAAGAAAAACAAAGTTGGAGGGATCACAATACCAGATATCAAGCTATATTACCAAGCCACAGTTCTCAAAACTGTCTGGTACTGGCACAAGAACAGACATATAGACCAATGGAACAGAACAGAGAACCCAGAAATTTACCCAAGCCATTATGCTCAATTAATATTTGACAAGAGAGGCAAGAGCATACAATGGAGTTAAGACAGTCTCTTCAATAAATGGTGTTGGGAAATTTGGTCAGATACATGCAAAAAAAAAAAAAAATGAAACTAGATCACCAACTTACACCATACACAAAAACAAACTCAAAATGGCTAAAGGATTTAAATGTAAGATGGGAAACCATAAAAATCATACAAGACTTCATAGGCAGCAAAATGGCATCTATTTTCTTATTTCAGCTCTGATAGTGTAGTAATATACATAAAACATATTATTAAGTGAGTGAATTTTATCTGCTTTATCAATCAATTGAAAAAGTTTTTTCCCTCCAGAGCTGAGAAATTGTTAACTTGAATTGATCTATTTGATTATTTTAAAATTTCCTTGTTGTACAAAGTATGTTTATTACCCTTCAGATGAAAATTAATTATCTGGAGGTTCATGGGCTTCGTGGGGGGTCCATTCAGTCCTCCTGGGAATCTGTGATGAAATGAAATTTTGAATACAAGTACACTGCTGAATCTATAACCTTGCTCAGATGTCCAGAGGTGCCCTTAACCCCACCCCCAAAAAAGTCAAGAAATTGTGTTTTGGGAGAATTTGGCATTTTTGTTTAATAACTGTATATTTGGTATTAAATGTGACTCAATCCTTTTATTTTATTACTAGAGGCCCAGTGCACAAAAATTTGTGCACTGGGGGGGGGGGGGGTCCCCTCAGCCCGGCCTGTGCCCTCTCGCAGTCTGGGACCCCTCGGGAGATAACGACCTGCTGGCTTAGGCCTGCTCCTGGGTGGCAGAGGGCAGGCCCAATCCCTAGGTGCAGCCCCTGGTCGGGTTCAGAGCAGGGCCGATTGGGGAGTTGGGGCGCCGCCCCCTGTCATGCACAGAGGAGGGCAGATCAGGAGGTTACGATGCCACCCCTAGTCACGCTCAGGGTAGAGCTGATTGGGGGGTTGGGCACCGCCCCCTGTCACACTCAAGGCAGGGT